GCAGTTCCAGGAATTGAACTCAGGATCTTGCACTTGCCAGGCAAGCATTTATTCTACTGAGCCCCATTTTTGTTTCTTATTTCACCATATGTATGTGCCTGAGTATGTAGTACTAGGGACTGAGCAGAGGGGCCTGTCACTGTGGACTTCTTTTGGGGGGGGTGGGGGGCGGGACCGGGGATTGAACTCAGGCCCTTGCACTTGCCAGGCAAGTGCTTATAGTACTGAGCCATCTCCCTGGCTCTATGCATTCCCATTGTTTTAGACAAAGTCTCACTATGTAGTTCCAGCTGGCCTTAAACTCACTATGGGCTTAATCTGGCCTGGAACTCACAGCAATCTTCCTGCCTCAGTCTTCTGACTGCTGGCATGACAGGCAAGCACTATCATGTCTGGCCCTGGAAGTCCTTTTTTTTTGAGACAGGGTCTTGCCAAGCCACTAAATTTCCCAGGCTAGACTTGAACTTGTGGTTGATCCCCTGCTCCAGCTTCTCAAGAATGCTGGAGTCATAGGCATACTGAGCAAACATAGTTTGATTTGGTTTTTTGGTTTTTTTTGGTGGAACTGGGGATTGAACTCAGGCCCGTGCGCTCACCAGAGAGGCACTTATTCCACTGAGCCATCTCCCCAGCCCCCAGAGTTTGATTTCTTTCTTTCTTTTTTTGGTACTGGGATCAAACTTGAGACTTTGGGGCTGGGGAGATGGCTCAGTGGAATAAGTGCTTCCCTGGCAAACACAAGGGCCTGTTCAACCCCCAGTCCCACGAAAAACAAACAAACAAACTTGAGACCTTGCACTTGCCAGGCAGGCACTTAGTCCACAGAGCTATATCCCTGGCCCATAGCTTCATTTTATATCTTACATTTTTATGATATGTGTCTGACATTTCAGGATAGATGTTTAAACTTTTTCTTTTGTAGTGCTGTGGCTTGAATCCAGGGCCTCACAGATGCTAAGCAAGTGCTCTAGTGCTAAGTTATATACCCAGCCCTTTTTTGTTTGTTTGTTTGTTTTTTGATTGTTTGTTTTTGTTTTTGGCAGAACCGGGGATTGAACTCAGGCACTTGTGCTTGCCAGGCAAGCGCTTATTCTACTGAACCGTCTCCCCAGCCCCATTTTTTTGTTTTTTGAGACAGGATCTCTCTATATAGTCCAGCCTGGCTTAGAATTTAGTATGTAGTCCAGGATGGCCTCAAACTTGTGGCAATCTTTCTGCTTCAGCCTCCTAACTGCTGGGATTACAGGAGTGTGCTACCACACCCAGAAAATATTTTTATCTTTTTAATTTTTGGGGGGTGGATCCAGGAATCAAACTCAAGATCCCTGCATCTGCCAGGCAGGTAGATGCTTGAACCACTGAGCTATATCCCCAGCCCTATTTTTTCTTTTCTTTTCTTTTTTTTTTTCAGAACTGGGGATTGAACTCAGGCCCTTGTGCTTGCCAGGGAAGTGCTTATTCCATTGAGCCATCTCCCTGGCCTCTTTATCTTTTTTGAGACAGGGTTTCACTATGTAGTTCAGGCTGGCCTTGAATTTACTGTATAGTTCAAGCTGGCCTCAAACTTGTGGCACTCCAGCCTC